TTCTATAACGGACCTCTAAAAACAATAATGACCGCTGCCCATGGCAACGCACTCTCTGCTTCTCTTTCAGGTAAGGGTTTCTATATGGACTTAAACATGCTGAGAAGAGGTTTTGAATTACTAAGATATTTCTTAGTATTTTTAGGGGCTGGTGCTCTGTGTACTGGGTGCAGCTCTGACTGCCACCCTCCCAACCTAGAAATGGATTAAGGAGAAGAAAATGGATGGACAGAAGATATTTCTATAATGACTTCACAATTAAACGAAAGTGTTTACAAATTGTTTTGAATCAAACAGCCCATTGTGTACCAAAAAGCTCCAGGGACATCAGGTGAGCTTTGTTTTAGTCCAATCCAATCTAATCCACTTTATTGATATAGCACATTTTATAAAAACCATGTTTCCAAAGGGCTGCAGAGATAAAAGTAACACATTAAAATATACAGGTCTGCCAGCTTTAATTAAAAAAATAAAATAAAAACAATAGAATTAAATCAAATCTATGAACAAAAAAAACAAAAAAAAACAGTTATCTATATACATAAAGAAACATAAAACTATACAAAGATGAAAACCAAACAAAAATAGAATAAATAAAATAGAGGACCACACAACTCACGCGCAACCCCCATATTGACTGGCCTCTCGGGATCCAAACAACTTATTTATTATCAAAAGAATTGTTGATTACTGCCCTTGTTTTTTATTTTTCAAAAGATTTGCTTTGGTAGATTGAACACAACATATAGTAATAACTAATCCAGCGTGCGGGTCCAACATGGAGCAGTACCAATAGTAATCAAACCGACATTGGATACTTCCGATGCTGTTAGTGCTGTTTAGGGAACTCTATCACTCCATTAGCGACTCCCTATATTTACATGAGCTATTGGCATCGGTGTGAAAACCTCCAGCGTGTCAGCACTCCCGCTCCAATACAATTACATCGAGTGGACAGATAGACTTTCGTCCAAGGAACAATCTCCTGCTATCAAACTGTTGGATCAGCAACAATCATTAGGCTTTACTGCGGTAAATATGGCTGCACCTGACACCAGGGAGTGATATTACAGCCCGCGGTTATGTTTGAGAGCAGATCAATAAGTGAGATGGGTGGAATTATGACTTGAGTGTAATGGGGGAGTGGGGAAATGATTGGTGTCCTGGCAGCCTCTAGGAGTATGCATGGGTGTGTGTGTGTGTGTGTGTGGAACAAGTACGTACACATCGAGGTTCCTTTTCTACAGGGATTTCTACAAATAAACAGACTGAATGAGTTGTGTCGTATAAGATGTGTTTTTCAAAGCGCGGATCAGAAGGAAGGAGCAGCAGGAGATCAGTGTCCCATGTCAGGAGTCATGTGGTTATCTAGATGTTGTAGTGAATAGTATAGTTCAATACATACAACATGTCCACTGTGGTGCGGCCCTTGTGTGAAAATGAAACGCCCCTCGCTGCTTTATGGCCTTTCCGTACAGCTGTGGACCAAACTGTGTGTTATTACCACAGATAGTATGTGTGCCACCAAGTCTCCAGAGAGGTTTTTTTAACAACTTTAAACTATTAAAACTTCTAGACATTTAGGACAAGGTTCTTTTTTTGACTGTGATAGGACAATGTTCTAGTGTTAATCTTGATTATGACGGAAACGGTTAGAAAATGTCTTTTTAAAGTTAGAGGATGGACAGTATTATTATTTGTCCTATATGTTCACAGCAAGCAGTCAATAAATTAGTAGGAAGACATTTATGCCATGGTTACTTTTCTGACTGTAACAGCACATGGTTTTGTTATTAATCTTGATCATGACATACTGTAGGAAGATGGAATATTCAAACAAGTATGAGCTAAACTAATGGTTGTCACAAACTTACCAACATCTGCAGGTGGAATGAATCCATAGTGTATTTAATGAAGTCAGTACAGCAGTGTTTCTCAATCAGGGGTCCCCTCGAGCATTTAGCAGAGGGTTTCTGGACTGGTGTCAGATTCACGCTGTGGGAGCGGCCTTCCTGAAAATGTGAGACAAGCTTCTTTTCAGTGAGGATGTTCAAATTCAGGTTAGCTGTGCATACACACTGAAAAATCGTCTTAAAATGAACCTTCCTTTTGAAACGCAGGACATGAGATAACTTTCAAACCCCAAAATATTGATCAATGTAAATGCATTTAACTTTTTCTTCTCAAAACGGTTTGGTTTTCATATATTGTATGTATTTCTGGCATCTATCACATTTCTTCATCAGCGTTTTCAGATGGAAACATGAAAAAAGAGAGGAACACCCTCATTCAGCCAACCAGCTTCAGCCCAAAGGGTCAAATAGTAACTCACAGGGCGTCTGCAAATGTCACAATAACATGAAGACAGCATGGTGTGGTCTGATTCTTTATAACTGAACAGTAACATTGGTCCCAAACCAAGAAATGAGGCTAGTTTTGGCCTGTTCAGAACTAGTCAAGGTGGAACAAAACACACCCGGAACTCTGTGACCGCTTTGGATCGCAGTAAATGGTCTCAAATGTTACTGTTTTTGTTTTATGCTAGCGATAAAGTATCCCAAAATGTAGCTATTCTTCCAAGAATTGCAACATTTTCATCTGGAGTTTTGTCATAAGCCTCGGGGCGATGCCGTCATGCCCAAAGAAACCAATTCGGGCGTTCTGCTCTCCCAAAATTCCATCCACTGAGCGGCGCTGTGATCAAAAAATGACACCGTTTGTTGCCCAGTTCACTTCCGGTTGATTTCATACAATGGCGAATATGGCTCACGAAAACAACAAGCGATTGACAGTGCCTGAATTGCGTGAAAGGTTGAAGCGAAAGGGTATTTGCAGTGTGGGAAAACGAAAGGAGGAATTGTTGTTGCTAGTTCAACGAGCGGATGGTGTTTATGAAGATTTAGAAGAAGATGACAGCGAGCAGAGTGAACGAAAACGGCTGTGTGTGCGAGTGACAGATGGTAACAATGAGAATGAAGTTCAGCTAAGAGGGAAGAATGTGAATTGGACGGATGATTTGCGCGATATGCCACTAGTTAGAGACGGGAATGTATTTGCATACAGAAAATGACGAAAACACTCAACCATTTAGAGAAAATGCGCCGGGCAGAGAGAACCGGAAGTTGCGAAGGCAAGTGTTACCCATAATGCAACGCAAAATTCAGTCGCTCCCCCGCCCATCGGATGGAATTTTGGGAGAGCAGAACGCCCGAATTGAAGTCATGTGTATCATTGCATATGCGAGCACTTGGCCAGTGACGGTCCTTCATATTTGCTCAACTCTGCCGGAGAGTCACTGCTCAGTTTGATGGAAAGCACATTTGCACCGACCTCCAGCTCGTGTTTCCACTTTAGATTCTGGCTCCCACACTCGAGGCCCCCGGTCCCTGAGTCAGCACAATTACAGTGTTTATTCTCTCGAGTTTATTTGTTTCATCATCGTGGGGAGATGAAAAGAGGAGTCCAATTACAAAACACAAATCTCATACAGAAAAATTGTGCAAGAAAGGTTTGCCAATCTCCAGGCTTAAAGTTTCAAGTGGATTTGGATGTTGTGTGACAAGTAAAATAAGAGCGTCCTCAGTTTATATACGGTGTTCTTGGGGATTTCCTTTATGGCTGTTTTGTTTCAGAGGTCGCCACAGTCAATCATCTGCATGTATTTAGTTATATCCTTTGCATCCGACACGATAATGAAATAGCTTTAGAGCATGCTTTGCTCTTCCTTTTGGTCCTTTTATGTATATGCGGCTTTGGATATGATCTCAAACTAATATCAGATGTATGGAAAGATTTGATTTGCAGCCTTGTGTATCCTACGCAGCTCAGTCTCTGTATCCTCCAGCTTTTCTTTGTCTGACATGCGACAATTATTTCCATGTGTGATGTGTGTCGTGCAAACTAACAAATATGTTTTGTTAGTACTTTCAGTTTGAGCTTCACAGCAATAGTGTAGTAATGTTACCTGATGACTAAATTCATTCATTTTTGTACTGATTTTTTGTTTCGCCAACAGCAGATTAGAAAATTAAACTAAAGTCTCGTCAATTATAGTTTAACCAATGTCTATGCATGTTCATTCATGTCCATATATGTACTGGATTATGCCCTGTCCTCCTGCATTGGCAAGGAAATCTCAAACACCCAGTAAATCTCAGTAAGTTTCATAATATGTAGACTATAACTGTCGAAATAGTCTACAGTCTCTTGAGTGTTATAACAAAAATCTAGTTGTTTAATATATTGGGTATGAACCAAATAGATATAAAAGAGGACATTTAATGACACTAAACAGTTGCAAGCTACACACAGAGACAACAGAAAATAATCCATGCATACACACATGGACACATGGTGAAGAGAGAGAGAGAGGATCCACCGACAGAGAGACACCCCCATACAGTATATACTGTATATATTAGCTGTGATGTCACCTACATGTCACACTCTGCCAGGGACAAAGGGACAATTGATAGACCGTAATCAAGAAAAGTCATCCCTAAAAGAAGCCAGTGTCGCAGGTCATAAAGAGGAAGGTGAACGGTGGACGATCTGCTATGTCCTTCTCAGAAATGAAATTGTCAAGAAATGAGTGTCTAGATAACTGTTAATTATCTTCATAATCCTCATCTCTAACTCATGTGACATTTTGTACCACTCAAACTGCAAAATATGATGAAATATGAGGTCATATTTGTTGAAAATGAATGGTTTTTATCTTTATATGAGTACATTCTGACTGTCTTATTTGCCAATGGGACAAAGCCATTGCATTTTTTTCTCATTCCAAGGGAGACATTTCTTTTATCTTTTTATAACAAGATTATTTTTCTTGTCCCATCGGCAAATATTCTTTTAAGGCAGTCAAAATGTTCCCAGATTAAGACAGATTTTGCCAAATTTGAGCAGTTTGGTACTTATTTTTCAACACTTGTTGCAGTGATATGTGACATTTTTCATTGTAGGAGACCAGAACTAACTTGTGTTTTTCATATGCGCAGGCTGGTGGTTCGTCAGCACAGCAGAGGAGCAGGGCTGGGTCCCCGCCACCTATCTGAACTCACAATGCGGCACACGCGACGACTTGGAGCTCGGTGCCTCCAAATCCGGAGAAGGTAAAAAAGCCCTTTTCAAACCCTCCCCTTTCCCTTCCCCTGCAGACGAGACAGCCACACAGACACTGCCCTGCCCTGGAGTGCACTGTAATCTGCGACAAAATGGGACAAATTCATCTGGAGCTCCTTCTCTCCGTCTTGGCTTCTCTGAACAAGATGCCCTCAGTTGAAAATGAGGCTTGGGTAAACTTCGAGGTGGAGCGCGAGACCACAAAACCACTGAAAACTGTATTCTGTTTACTAACGGACCGTACCAGACCCAGAGATGCTGCCTTCTCTCTCTCTTTCATAAAGGATCTGTGTGTGACCAGGCAACAGGAAAAGCAAATCTGCATTTTCCCTAACTCAGCATTCATTTATATGAGTTGTTAATGGAAGCAATATTGACAGGCCGTTTAGCGTCGGCCTGTCAGAGAAGGCCTGGGTTTTGTAGCTAGTGCGAGACGTTGGAAGTTTACCAGTCGAAAAAAAAAACGCTCTTAAGTGTGTTAGAAAAACATGAGATTATTGGATAACGTGGTGTGTCAGCAAAGACGCCAACAATTTTCAAAAGGATGTTATCACGTTTTACATAATGCAGACCGGACTTGGGTCACGCATTAAATCCAGTTTTGTTTAAACATATTTTGGCTGAGAATTGCGGAGATTGGCGCCTTGTTGAGGGGAATACAATTATTTTATGACATTACAACATTGCAAAGTTCCCCCCAACAAGCAAGAAAGCCAGCACTGGCTCCGAACACAAGCATTAATTGTAAACACATTTATTATTCCTTCTATGCCAGCGACAATTACCGAAAAGCCAAGATGTTTTTGTTGATTAATTAGCCAAATTTTTTTTTTTAGCAGCCTTTTTTGACTCTTCATAGGACTCCATTGTTCTGATAGTGTTTGCATTGTGCTCTGCAAAGAACTGGGGGTATGAAAATAATTACTCCCCCTTTCATAACATTCACAACAAAACTTTTTTTCCAGCCGTGTGGCCAGCATAAATGCAACTGTACGTTCTGAAGCTGGCCGTAACGGTGAATCCCATTGGCCTTGTATATCCAACCTCACTATTTGTTGAAAACGTTTTTTGTTTGTTTTTTTGTTGTTTTTTTACAACCTATACATTATTCCACTTGGGATCTCCACTCGACAAACGAACGCACAACTACACCCAGGTTCTATTAACTGTTGTGAGAGATAGCGAGGCCGGCTTTCAGCGTAGATCCGTAAAGAAAACACAATATGTCTGTGTGTAATTATCGCGAACGTGTCTCGCCTGCAGGAATGACATGATGGCGCGGCAAAGGGGAGATTCTTCATATTTCACGCCACTTCAGCCCAAAAGCTGTGAAATTTGCTGAAAGCTGCAAATGTAAACTTGCTTTTTTTCCATATTGCAGAGTAAGCATTGGGGCCCCCGCCTTGATAGAACAATAAATCTAATGTTTAGGCTCGAAGGCAAATACATTCATAAAACATTTCAAACTGTTTGGAAAGAGCAGGCAGAGGCGTCGCTCTTGAATCTTTTAATCAAATTTGACCTTTTCAAGTTTATTCTTGTGGGTGGGCTGTAGTCTGATGAATGCAAATGTATCCAGGACAACACCACCTGAGACTCGGCACCAGTTTGGAGAAAGAAAGAATGGATAGTACCGTGGTTCGTTGCCTCCAATAATGTATGTTTCAGAGCCTGGCAATATCGCAATACAGCAGACTTTTAATGTTATACTATATATTTCTAAACGATGCAAAATGGTTGAGTTAAACATAGAGGCTTTTAGCTCCTTTTTTAGTTTCCTCAACCATTTGGTAGATCACCTTTTGAGTCGCTACATCTACTTGAAGCTTGGAACTTGGAAATGTCCCCTTTTTTTGCATCTCACTGGGTTTTAGGCACTTTTGTCATCAAACTGCATCTCATCCATTTGGTAAAGGCCTATCATTAAAAAATAAGGGTGTTATTAGTGTTATTAGTGCTCCTACATCTTGAAAAAAAAATCAAAAAAAAGAAAAATGTTGTATGTTAAAGGGTTAAACAACAGTACAAAACAAAGATGCTTTTATATTTTATCTGTTGAAGATTAAATGAGTCTAGTTGACGTTGGTTGGATGGATGGGCTTATGGCAGGGAGTAGTAGCCTCACTTCTGTCAGTGTGCCCCAGGGCAGCTGTGGCTAGAGTAGTAGTTTATCACCACCGTGTTTGGAGTCAATAAATAATAACAGTTTTGAGAAGATCTATTTCAAAGTAATGCATCATCATTTCATTTCTGTATATTGGAACATATTTTGGTCTTTTTTATATAGATGCAAAGTAAAAAGTAGAAACAGGATAAACAAGAGAATGGCTTGTATATATATTGTATTCTGTTTTCTATGATTGATGCTTTACATTGGTCAAACCATCGCAGTCATAAAGTCATAAAGTAATGAAGGAAAAGCTCTGACTCTTCCTTCCGTACTGTAGAAAAACAGAAGACGCTACAGATTTCAGATTGAGAATAGAAAGTCCTCTCTGTAATGTCCCATCTGCCGCTCTAATTGAGTGGCATCCCTGCAGACGCAATGTGGGCGCCAGATGCTGGAGGATGAGAAAACCACGGAAAACAGCTTTGTAATTAAAACGCACACAGAACGTCTTTAACACTTCCTCTATAACCTCCACTCATCCGTGCACCTGTTCAGCCATCCTCCATGTCGTGCATCTCATCTGACGAGGGTGATGTCACATTTTACATTAAGATAACTGTGAGGGGAGAAACACCGGCGTCTAACTATTGTTCAGGATCTTTTCCACTCGACAGCAGTGAAATCCGACTATTTTTCATCTATTTCAGAAATCCATATCAAAATCAGACGTGTGAAAAGATGATGGTACTCATTGTTGTGGGGAAAGTAAAGTATGTTGTTAGTATTAATGACCTATTTCAGCAGTGTGTTCATTCAAAAGTCCACAGCAGATAAACTAGACTGGTAAAAAAAAAAAAAAATTGTCGTACAAAACACAAAGATTCACACTTTTGGAAACACCTACAGTATATATATCAACTTTGAGCATAAGAAGACGATCCTTTTAAGGTTTTGATTTATATTTAAGATAAGAAAATGGCAGTAGTTTTGATTCATGTCCTTCTTGACTCGACTGTAAATTGGATTTTAAAGTGGAATGAGCATACAGTGTGTTTTACTCTACCTAAACATTGCCCAAATATTGTTTTTAATCTGCTGAGATTGATATACATACAGTTTAATGCAAACACATGTTTTGTCTGCAGCACAGGACTTTAGTGTTATCAGATTTGCAGTAAAATTGTAATTTTGGTTATTAGTCTTGTAGCTCTTGAGTTGAACTTGTGACCTGAAGAAATAAATGTCTTGATTAAAGCTGGGATCCATACATTTAATTGGTTTACAAGTTTGTGATAAAATTAATTTAACTCGTTCATCACTCTCAGAATGGTTGGGTTCTATATAGTTTTCACATGCATGTTTGTCTAGGCCTTCGTCACATCAGCTCAGCTTTTTCACACAGAAAAGTAAAAAGGAGAGGACCACCCTCACTCAGCCCAAAATATCAAAAATAAAAGTTTTGTTTTGCATTATTATAATAAAATTAACATCCTACTCATGTGCTCGTCTGTGCGATAACGATCACCCTAACACTGATACATCCCTGTCTGTGCATCCTCTAACATGCGTCTGTGTGTGTCTCTGTCTGTGTGTCTCTGTGTGTGTGTCTTCCATTCTGTGTGGTCATGTCAGTCCCTAAGAGACAAAAGGCTCACCTGAAGAGGCTGGACCGCAGGTGGACTCTGGGCGGGGTCATCAGCCGGCAGCAGAGCCGAGGTGAAACACCCATAACCTTCATTCATCTTAAATGTGACGTCCGCTTCTCACCTGTGTCCTGTGTTCAGCTAACCATGTGTGCCATGTTTACCATGTTTACCATGTGTACCATGTTTGTGTGTCGGCCTGAATGTAGTAACATCATCACTGGGTCTTTGGGATTTCAATTACATGTAAAGTAGTTGGTGTTTTTTTCCGTACAAATGAAAAAACAGAGAAATGGTAAGATTAAGAGATCCCATTATTCGTCTCACAGTGGGGAAATTTCAGTTTTACAGAACGGAAGGAATGAGGAGCACACAACACAAGATAAATGAATACATCTATACTGAAATTAAACAAAATCAATCCCTATCTTTAGCATAATAAAGAAGTAAGAATGACATATAAATTCTCCGACTTAAGCAAAGAAGTACGTACAAAGTCTCTATCTTTAGCATAATAGAGAAGCAACAAACTACTGTTTGTATATGAATATTTGAGGTCACACAAGCAAAAACATTACATGGGAAAATACCTGGTTCTGTTCTGCATATTACGATCGTCTATGACCTCTGCGGCTTTTATATGGTTCATAGGAAACTATTAGATTGAGCCCCCTTGTAGCCCGTAGCCCTTAGCCCCGCCCCTTTAAAAAGCGCTGCTCCTCTGCAGTGAAAATATAACCTTGTGATGCGGTTATATTTTCACAGTTGAGCACAAATGGCTGTGCGAGTCTGCTGTATCGTCCACATACAGTATCACATATACAGAGCAAATGTTGTGAAAGAAAGTATGTTAAACCCAGGGGGAGGGGCGAGGTGTTTCTTGCTGAAAACATCCTTGTTTGAGTAAATGACGAGGGAAAACAACTAAAACATGGCAAAAAGCTGCGACAAGTTGATGTTTAGGTTATGTCTCCTTTAATCAGGTGTCCTTGTGAATGAGAGCAGAGCTTAAAGGCCAAATCACTCTTGAAAGGAAGCAGCTGCTTTAAGTTAAATGCATAATGAGTTTAAGGGGGTCAACTGTAAGAAAGAAGTTTATGTGAATAGAACAACAATTAATGAATGCACAATATCTAACTTACACTGCAAAAAGTAAAAAAGGGGCAAATATCAGTCAAAGATTACTCAAATTGGAACAGAATGCATATTATTTTGAGCACATTTTGACTGCCTTACAGTATAATAAGAATTGCCAATGGGACAAGCAAAACTGTCTTGTTTTTAAAAAGATAATTGTGGTAATGAAAAAAAAATCTAAGATATAAAATGTATTTGCCATTTGCAGTAAAACCACATTGGAAAAACTGTGCAAGACTACCCCAGTGTGCACCACTTCTTGGAAAAAATACTAAATGGCTTTGTCTTATTGGGAATCTTGTCAGAATGTACTCAAATGAATATAAAAATCACTTGATTCAAGTACGTTCTCATTTTTTGCAGTGTATCTATTAGACACAAACATACAATTATGAACTTAGTGTATATATATATATTTATTTATAAAACCATCAGCGTATGTCCTGGTGACTTCTGTAAAGATAACTGGTGAGAAACAAACAGATCTCAGCAGCATAATTGCAGTCCTTATCAAGTCCGGCCTTTTCCGTCACACAAGATGCTGCTGGACACATGACAGGAGGACTGCGGACAGGCTATTGAGTTCACCCAGCCTGTGCTTTGGCAGGCATTCCTAGAAAACCTCTCTGGACTGGAGCTGTTTCCACCCTGGGCCTGAAACACTGCCTTGTGTGCGAGACAAAAATGACTGATGTTTTGCTGAGTGCACAGAAATCCTTTATAACTGTGATGCCGGCGATGCATGTTGTGGTTAGCATAGCATCTGATTCAGAGTTTCCCTTCACTGCACTGCTGGAGATTGTTTGAAAGAGGCTGGTCGGGGTAAAAGCGTTCTACCAGCCGGAACAAGAAAGATTACAAAAAAAAAGGGAAAAAATAAAGTGCACGAAAATATTCTATGCCCATGCAGCAGACTGGAGGGTTATTTTTTTTGCTGGGGTAAGGGAAAGGCTGCCCACACACACCACTAAACATCCAAGACAAATGGACTTTTTCTTGACCAAACCGGGGGATGGAACTTTGGAACTTTGGAGACGCCACGCTTTGGGCTCTGAACGCGCCTCTTCTCCGGCGAGTGTGTGTCTTTGTTTACGCAGGAATGGGCCGTAATGACAGGAAGCGACTGCCCCATGGCCTTGTGGGAATGTTTAAATCAGCAGGAGCTCAATTATGCAGCGCGTCAGGCTGTCAGCAGGCCAAGGACCGCGTCAGGCCTGTCCTAATGAACAGCAGAGGGATTAGGACGAGCCGGAAACGTAATATGGTACTAGTTAAGTTGAGAGATTCTTTATACGTCCCACAGAGGGGAAATTTCAGTGTTGCAGAGCACATACAGGACAGTAGTAAGAGCACACAGGGACACAATGTACAATATAAGTAGCTATGTTTCTTAGCTAGCTGTAAATGCTTCAATATCAATATATCTATTAATATATCAAATTAAAATCAAATCAGTTTTATTTGTATCGCCCGAAATCGTAGGGCCGTCACAGAACCGCCAACTCCAGGGAGTCGGGGTTTCGAGTACCACCAGTGCGTTCATGAAACAGAGGGACAACAGGTGAACAGCAATTCACAAACCAAATTTATGAATGTAATAAAAATTAACAGTGAAAACGAGATCTATTTATCCTTCAGTCCGTGGATGTGACGGGTTAAAAACAGATTAAAATAGTCAGTTGGGAAAAAAAAAGGTTTGGTGCATCAGACAGTCATTTAAAGTGCATTCACAACAGTGCATTATATACTGTAGAGTAGAGTTACAGTATATACATATAGTGACATTCTGAAGTGGTCCTATTGCACATTGCACATGATTGAAGTATTGACTTATTAACAGATGAATGACATGCACAGGCTCGTTGTGGATTAGTGGAAAGGAAATAGTTAGCGTTTTTGTTATAGCTGCATATTGGTTTACTTAGAGTAATATAATAAATGTACTATTGGGTAAAGACTGCTATTTTTTGAGACAATGTTGCAGCCGCTCAGTGATTATTGGCTTCTTTTGACCACAACGTGTTTTGTAATAGTAGCTCTGGAGATCTTTACATGAGAACAAGCACGTTATTCTGAGAAAAGACACACAAGACGCTCCATCTAGTATTTTCAATGGTAGCGTTTATTTGTACAGCAGTTTATACACAAGGACATTTTTGGTTTCAAAAGAAGAAACATTAAAATAAATAATTTCAGTGCATTAAAAAGAGTGAAGAAATACAAACCTCGAACCAGCTATTTAATAATTTGTGTAGGTGCCATTCACCCACTAATAGCTGGGATCAGACCGTCGTGAGACAGGTTAGTTTGACCCTACTGATGATGTGTTGTTGCAATAGTAATGCTGCTACTGTGGCTCAGTTGGTAGAGCATTGGCCTTTGAGCCTGAAGGTCGTGGGTTCGAGCCCACCACGAGACCTTCTCCACCAACTCCCACTGATGTCTGCTGTCGTTGTGTTCTTGGGCAAGACACTTAACCCCACTTTGCCTAAAGCCCCTGCTGAAAGACCAAGGCTATGCCATAGAGCAGCCGTCCTCTTGTGGACTCACCACCTGCAGGAGGATCAGTGAGGGGCTGGTGCTTTGTGTACTGGTGGAATATCTGACCACCCCCCGCCCCCGACCCAGAAATGGATTAAGGGGTAGAAAATTGATGGATGGATGGAATATGAAATTCTTCAGTTTGCAGAGTTAAACAGAAGTGTTTTGAACCCAGATTTGAACATTATCAGAGTAGAAGCCTGTCTCACGGTTCCAGATTTTAGCTGCATAAATCTGAAACGCTGCCTCCTCATGTTTATTCCTGACTCTGGCCCCAGTAGGAGGCCAGTCCCTGTGCTACATCTGTGACACTAACATGTCACTGATGTACTTTGGTGCGAGGCCATGGAGAGACTTGTACACAAGCAGGGTACAAACTTCAAAACATACTAATAACAATATTATTATTTGGTTTATTTGAGTTAGACACAGAAAACATAGACAAACTGTCATACAGTAGTCTGATGCATGAATCTTGTTGCTTTTAGACATAGCTAATTTGCAGCATTTGTCCCTAGAATTGTTATTAACAATGATACATTTTACTTTGTTTTTCCCTGTATTCTTCATTAAACCATTCTTAAATATGCACCGCAGTGTTTGTATTGCAAGTGACAAAAAATAATGATTCATGAGGTCTTTTTATACAAAATGATTATTAAGTTCCATACAAAATAGAGATTAAATGAATTCAGTTATAAGTCTATATTTGAGTTTCTAACCACTATTGCACATACAGTATGACTTTCTTTCCAACCATAGAGTAGATATTTACTGCATGTATCTACTCTGTTATAAAGTGCATTTTGTTTCATAAAACTTTATTGGCAAAACTGATTCAAAAGTGTTCGCCAAGGAGTCTTTATGCACAGAACTTTTACTGTTACAGCTGGAGGACGCGCTGCCAGGAAGAACAATAACTCTGACATGTTTTATCTCCTGTAGAAAAAGAGATACACATCCATTAAATTATTACAATTAATCAAAAGAAAAGGAAATTACACTTTTTTGCCATCATTTTGATTAATTTGAGGTATTTTTAGAGCATTCCTCAATGTATCAACAGACCTGGGGTTGTTTTAGATCCATCCACTCTATTAGCAAAAACTAGCCAATTAATAAAAAATACTATCAAATAAAGGTATTATTTCTCATATGTACACAATGTATTTAAGTAAAACACCTCACTATGTTTATTAAAAGCCAAAAATAACATGGCATAGTTATTCTTTAATGCTCACATTTCATTGCCTGATCTGACTTAGTGTTGGGCTAAAAGTGAAATTGGATTTTTCTTGTACTTTTTTGACAGAAGAGAAGTACGTAACGGTGCAGCCCTACTCCAGTGAGGGCAAAGATGAAATTGCTTTTGAGAAAGGGGTCATAGTGGAAGTCATTCAGAAAAACCTGGAAGGCTGGTGGTTCATCCGGTAAGTTTCACACCACTTCAAGCCACATGTCTGATCTTTAATACAACTCATGTTCCATTTTGATTCTCAGATACCAGGACAAAGAGGGGTGGGCTCCGGCTTCTTACCTAAAGAAAGCCAAAGATGACCTCAGCCCGCGGACTAAGAAACCGGTCGCAGGCCCGGTGGAAATCATCGGTAACATCATGGAGATTAGCAACCTGCTCAACAAGAAGGCATCTAGTGAGAAAGACGTCCAGACTGAAGCTGTCCCAGAGAGCCCCCAGGTGGCCAAGAAGGAGATCAGCCTGCCCATGCCCTGTCCAGAGTCCAGTCCCAGCAACAGCCAATCAGAGGCCAAGACCAAAACGGAGCCGCCTTCACCTGCCGTAGCTCGCGTCGCTCCCCATTGTGTGGAGATAGGTTAGCTGTTTTTTGTGTCTTTCAATGCTCTCAATACTTCTTACTTAAAGGCCATTCATACATTCATGATAACTTCCAAAGTATTCAAATATAATGAAAAATAAACTAGCATTGATAAATAACTGTTTTCAATTGACAAAATTGGTCATTGTACCGTGCTGTACTAATAAAACCCAAATGTGAAACAGTTAAACAAATAACTCTATGTTCTATTTTGTGTTTTACAGGATCTCCGGTTCTCAGGCAAAAACCTCCCCCACGAAGAGACGCCACATTGGTAAGGCTTTTATTCTCTTTTTCTTTTTTACAATTTATTACCCAACATGATATACTATGGCATGGGTGAATGCTGTGTTCTGTTGATAATGATTCCGTGTACAATTTTGCACTTTAGGGATTCCAGCTGCCGTCCCCACCAGAGGCCCCAACAGTTGAAGCCGAGTACTACACCATTGCAGAGTTCCAGTCCTGCATATCGGATGGCATCAGTTTCAATGGAGGGCAGAAAGCAGATGTAAGTCTACTCTGGTATCGAGAATAAATACAGTAAAGAGTTGTCAATAACCTTATGTGTGACTTTAGGTGATTGAGAAGAATTCAGGAGGCTGGTGGTATGTGCAGATAGGAGAAAAGGAAGGATGGGCTCCATGTTCGTACATTGACAAACGCAAAAAGCCAAATCTGAACCGCAGGACAAGCACCCTGTGTCGGCCCAAAGTCCCCCCACCCGCCCCGCCGGTCAAAAAGCAAGATTCAGTAGAGACTGCTCCTCCGAGTAGCCCAGGATCCGAAGCTCCGGAGTCTCCTGTTTCTCCCAACAGACCGGTCTATGAAGAACCAGAGTATGATGTCCCTGCCATTGGCGATTTAGACCTCGAGTCTGAGTTTGAGTTTCTGAGAGGAGAAGGGTCCTTGGTGGATACAAAAATGGAGGACACTTTATCAGAAAGGGGATCTCAACCTTCTTCTAAGCCCTCCCCGGCTTCCTCCCTTCACAGTGCCTCCTTTAAGATGGGCGAGTCGTTTGAAGATAGCCAAGAGGCCGAAGCTGAGAAAGAGTGCATCTATGAGAATGACGGCTTTTGGCCGTTCCGCGAGACTCCAGAACGTCAGTGCAGTCGGGATTCTAATTCCTCCAAGACAAGTGTTTTGTCTGATTCCGGCAAGACCGCTTCTACCCTCAATCCTTCACCCGGAGGATGGAAACCTGCCAGCAGCAAACTCAAGATCGATCTAAATGGGAGTCCCTTTATAAAGTCTGAGGATGCACCCAGCCCGAAATCGGTCTCAACAGAGTCGACACCAAAAAAGGATAAAGAAGCAAACAGGGAATCTCTGTCCACGAAGGCGTCTGCGAAGCTCAAACCAGTGGTGAGGCCTAAGCCACAGATGGCCAAATCTGTGAGTGCTGAAAAGATGGACATCAGTACTTTGAGAAGACAGCTGCGTCCAACAGGGCAGCTCAAAAATGGCAACAAAACATCTAAAGGGGAAGACTCTGAGACTGCATCTGTGATTTCATCTGAGGATTCCTTCTCCTCCCAAAGTACGTCTGATCTCTCCTCCAACTATTCCAAAGGAAGCAGGGGTGACTCCGATCTGGAAGGGTGCATGCAATATCGCACCACAGATCCCTATGAAAAAGTGCAAGAGTCTGAGCTCAGCTTCCCCGCAGGAGTGGAGGTGGAAGTGCTGGAGAAGCAGGAAAGTGGCTGGTGGTACATTCGTTGGGGCGACAATGAAGGTTGGGCCCCTACATACTACCTGGAACCAGTCAGACAACAAGACGACATGGTGGGATCTGAATCAGATGGCTCGCCCACAAAAAGTCTCAGCAAATCCAATAGTCTGGAGAAGAATGAACAAAGAGTCCAAGCTTTGAACAACATCAACCAAAATTTGAAGAAAGTCACTCCACCTATTCCTTCAAAACCTCCTGGTGGCTTCACCAAACCTTTAGGATTGTTTGGTGCATCCAAAAAACAAAATAGCAGCAAGCAGCAGCAGGTGGTCAGACCCCAGTCTGTCTTCATATCGGCCCCGATAATGGATGGTCCCAGTCCTGTCAGCTCCTTGAGAAGAAATGAGTCTTTGAATTCAACAGACCATCCGCGTGTTAGTCCTACAGTGCGTCGAAATGCTTCATTTGGCACTGTTCCCCGCAATCTCACCCCAAACATCACTCTTCCAAACAGGTACAGGTCAGGTAATGGCAGCTCTGAATCTCTCAGCCAAAGTTCTCAGAAGAATTCGGTTCCCATTTCTACCGTTAAACCAAAACCACACATCATCCACAACAACCTAAGGGATTTGTATGTGTCTATTGCGGATTACCATGGCGACGAGGAAACTATGGGATTTCCCGAGGGCACATCTTTGGAAGTTCTTGACCGGAATCCAAATGGTTGGTGGTACTGCAAAGTCCTGGACAGTGGCCGACCAAGGAAAGGATGGGTCCCGTCAAATTACCTCGAGAAGAAGCACTAGCACTCATGTTCGGAGCTGGAAGAACTCTTTTAACATGCGTGTTAAGACTACTTTAACAGATTCATTTATTTTATGAAGACCATTAAATGTGCTAAATACAGATTCTGTTCCCGGTACCTGTGCCAAAGCGATCAGCCAGATCAGATTATGAGCGTTAAATGAAGTGGGACATCTGGGAAAGTGCGTTGGTAGTGATGGAGGCCTGTAGAATTAGTGTCGGAGCATGTTGGGACAAGCCAAAGAGAAAAGCGGAAAGTGGGGAAGGATGCTGTCATCGGGCGAACCTTAACTTGAAACAAGATGTCTGAAAATGTTTTTATGTACAACTTATTACGTCTGTCTTTTTATAAAGGCATTTAAAGCTTTCTGCATGTTTGAAAGGATCCATTATACTGACTAGGCCTCAGGCTGTTAAACTAAGCAATTTTCTACTCCCTTTTATGAAGACATCTAAATGTCGTCAAAGCTTTTCATGTTAGTCTTGTGTGGCGCTTGATTGCATGTTTTTATACTCCTGTCCTTTTGTGATATATCTTACCCATTTTATGTGTCTGTCATCAATGCAACAAAACAAGCATCTTAAACTGTGGCAATATTTTCAGAAAAACTTCCAATTATTTGGGACACTCATTTCAGAATCTATTTATTCTCAATCTAATGACATAATGCAATAGAGGCATTTAATTGTCATAACTTTATCCTATAATATTTTGAAATTTCTGCTGGGCAGTAATTTTGACAAACGTTAATCTTTCAGCTGCTGCAGTAATTGCGATGCTTGCTCAGATTTGCTGTTAACTGTGCAACCAAAAATGTTAACAGAGGTTTCTAAAGATCGAAGTAAATAAATGCACTTTTTAAGGAATGTTATTGTTTGGCTCCGTCTGTTAATGATGCTTACGTTATGCATATGTCAAGTTAGACTACATATTCCCCAAAACAGAGCCGACCCTTGTAAGCTGTTCAAATGAGTTTCCTCCAGAGTGAGTGAGTAACTCGGTCACATGGGAGGAGCTCGGAGTAGAGCTGTTTCTTCTCCACGTCGTGAGGAGCCGGTGGAAGTGACTCAGGCATCTGTTTGGGATGCCTCCTAGACATCCTCCCCTGCTGCCACTGTGACCTGGCAACGAATAAATGGATGGATGGCGAGGGTAATAATGAATATTGGATGTTAAATCTAATTATGGATTTCAGCAGTAGATGTGATTCAGGCTGAGGTTTTTCTATGAGGACCAAAGCTCATCTGATTAACTTAGCTGAATTCACAGTAGAAATGTGAGAAAACGCCATTGTTTTTTTTATGAATGAATGTTTAAATTAGAAATGTGTATTGTATGTAAATAGTCTGGGTAATAGTCTAACCCTAAACCTACTCAACAAAGTGATTTTATCCATACATTCTTTATGGTGATGTCATGACATTCATATTACATAACATATTTAGTATATACGGTTTCCAGTCACGTCCATAATGAGTCTCCCAGGTTAAACATAACCTCATTTAGCTCATTACCACAGTGCACAGACATGCTCAGGCTTATTCTCCACGCTGTATGCTTTTAAATGCCTTTTCAGTTGTCAATGTCTTTTGGCGTCTCCTGGGAACTCACTTATGCATTATTTCTTATATCCCTAAAGCTGCTCAGGTAGGTCCCTAACTGCATACACAAGGATTCACTTGGGAACCTGAGACTTTTGTGTGGCTGCTGCTGGAACGGCTGTTTGCAAATGATAGTTAAAATCAAATCATCGTCTGGGGAATAGAGTACAGATGGATGTCGGCTATAATACATGTTTTTAATGCGTGCCAATTACAAGTCATTATCACTGGCAATATTAGGCTCTCATTTGTGTTGATTTAATAGGTTTCATGGTTGAGGGGTCTGCATGGACTGCACTACTGAACTTGTTTACATCCAATAGGAATAAAAACTATACCGAAGTCTTTCAGCAGCTGGGTGACAAATTAGTTCATGCTCTCCTGGCTCAACACCTCTCTTGTTCTTTCTAACCGTAAATGCTGCCATTGGCTTTGCTTGGCCCGCACATTAGCTTTTGGTTCACTCGCCATTCATTTTGTGGTCATTTGGTGCCTACCTAATTAGCCTTTAATTGACAAAGCAAGAGGTAAGGGCTGTAATATTGTCGCCGTTAGCCTTAATCATAAAAAATACAAATCAAACCGGTGATATAATGTAGTTTCCAAATGTTATGGTGAGGCGAGGGAATGCATCTTAATAGCATTACCTCCCACAGAATATCTTAAGTGAAAAACAGACATGGACCACAACTTTAACGACGCATGACTAATGAGTGATCATCTTAGTGGGTTTTGGGCTGTGGTTGTGGTCTGTCTACACACCATCCAGTAAATGTATTGATGTAAGATGGTGTAATTTATGAGCCATGTGAGATCATCGAGGGCATCCAGGTTAGAAGTAAATGTGTGTAAGAAGCAGAGGTTGCAGGTTTTTCATTTTTTGGGGAACTCCAGATCACGACCTGGATCGTGGGAGTAGCTGAATATTTTTTTGAGGTGAGGTAAGAACCAGTGCCGGTCCTAGCTTTCGGGGGACCCCATGCAAAGTGTATTTCAGTGCCTCTCTTCTAATGAGTTCATATGATGGGTCACATTTCAACATGGAACACAGACAATGGCATCGCCTTGAATGTCGCCCAGAAAGGGACAATGTGTGCCAGAAGTAATAGTAGAAGTTAGAAGTCAATACAAATAGGTGACCCCTTCTATTTTTTTAAGGAAATATCTGTTAATATCAAATGAGTTTCATGTTGTGGGGCATTGTTGGTGACCTTGGCTCATGAATGGGAACTGTAGATCCTCGGGGCTGAATAACCATGTCTTCCCGTTTATATATAAATCATGGGACATCTTAATGGTCCTAATTGATCAGTTTGAAAAGTATATGGAACGTATATCAAATATGAGAATTGGCTTGAATAGGAAGATTTAAAACGCAGGATGAAATATGGCTGAATGGGTATTGTTTACAAAGTCTATATTTTTTGTTTTTCATTTTACCATCTTCTCCAATTTTGGTGGATTTTGTTTTAAGGTCCATCGCACAACTGTTTTCCGACGGCTCTGCTATCTGTTGTTTGCTAATTTGTCATATTATTTTTGGACTGCCACTCGGAATGATTAAAATTCTTAATCATTCAAAATTAGAATTCTATTCTTCAATCATGGATGATCCCCCCCCACACACACACACACACACTCACTGACAAGTAATTACCAAATGTTGTAAAAATCAGACCTTTTCTTCAGCTGTAGAACACAGTTTAACCTGCAAACGTGTGAGATAGATCCACGTGAGCCACCATTTGACGTTTTGAGATGATTGGATAAGAGAGGATGCTTTTCTCTTTTTCTCTCAAAGAAAGCTGATCTAAACATGTGACAAAGGACAAAGCTACATGCATGTGGAAACTAGTGATAGAACCAAACTAGTCACAATCAAGAACTATAGTGCGATTGTATCAAATAGTTCAGTTTTGTTGTTGTTTGAAAGTTGGGTACCCCAGCTTTAAATGTGTTGCGACATCATGTGTAATATACGTTTTGTGTAGTTAGAAACGAGCTGGAACTCCACATTGCCTTCCCGGACACGGCCACATGGGGGCAGCAGCACTCAGCATCTCCCGTCTCTGCAGAAAGAGAGAGATGGCCGTCACATCAGGGCCAATTACAGCGCGCCAGGATAGACTTTCCCAATTGATATGTTGAACTATGAACAGAGTCGTACTTTGGAACGTAATTACCTTTCTGCTCACAGTTTTTCCCACCTCGATGCCGCAAATCCAACACGCACCAACAAAGATTTTTACATCAGAAACCTCTCCAAAAAAGCTTAAGCCTTGTGTTGAACAGAGGAACCAAACCAAGGCGGAATCATTTGAAATGCGTGGTCCATTCAAAGCATTTCTGGAATACAAATATGGCATTCTGTTGTACGCAGATGAGTGAGACGCATGAGTTAATTCCAACAGATGCACATGTCAAAGACTTCACTGGAGACATGCCTTCTGCGCAATGAGCTGTATACTCCTGCATATATTTATTGAGAGATTAAGAGATTCCACAGTGGGGAAATGTCAGTGTTGCATCACAAGTTACAGAAGAATAGGAAAGAGGGGCACACACAGGATAATTGAATATTAAATTTAGCACGATCCTATTTAAATCTCTTGCTTAAGAGAAGCAAGAAACATGAAGTATGAATAAAATAATGCACATAAGGTATAAACTTGTATATAATGCAAATAAGTATGTGTGTTAAAATCTAGTGCAAGAAAATGTCATGGGGGCTAGCTCTGGGGGTTCAATACTGGCGGCACGGTGGCTGAGTGGATAGCACTCTCGCCTCTCAGCAAGAAGGTCCTGGGTTCGAATCCCGGTCGGACCAGGGCCTTTCTGAGTGGAGTTTGCATGTTCTCCCCGTGTCTGCGTAGGTTTCCTCCGGGTACTCCGGTTTCCCCTACCACTAAAAATATGTCCAATAGTTCTAGCATGCGCCTCCTGTACTGGCGACCCCGCTCCCATCTCTGTGTGGAGTGAGAGACAAATGCCCAAAAAAATTAACAATTGTAAACCGCTTTGAGACTCAGATCTGCAGTGAAAAGGCGGTATATAAATAAAGATTACTTACTTACTCACAGTGATGGAACTACTACATGTTAGCAGAATGAGGGTCTGGGCCAAAAGTGACACAGTAGTAAGTGACAGTGGACCCGAGGCCCCATATTGCACATTCTATTATTATTGCACATTCTTGTACAGATGCTTTTGACATGTGAGGTCAGGTCGCCAGTGTTCATCAGCCTTCATTTTTCATTGTACAGTCTGAACACATTCAACAAGTGATTTTCTTCCATAACGGCGTGTGTAAAAGTGTTTCACGGTTCTATTGCTCTGTGTTGAATTTGCGCGAGTGTTGGGCTGTGCGTAAAAAGCCACGCTGTGCATCAGGAGCCAGGCC